GGCTTAGTGGTTGGGGTTGTGGAATGAGGTAGGGGTATAGATCCATTTATTTTCATAGGAGCACCCAATTTTCCCACTTCATTGATTGAAAAGACTTCCTTTTACCCACAACTCTGTAGCCTCACCATTACCAGTCTCTTGCATTCTCTCTCTTTTTCTCTCTTCTGTGTGTGTGTGTGTGTGTGTGTGTGTGTGTGTGTGTGTGTGTGTGTGTTGCTGTGGCCTCCAGCACTCCATCTCAGTGGCTGGGTCGTTGTGGATCCTGAGCTAAGCTGATGCTGATCATGAGAATCCTGGTCACACAACTGCCAACTGGCTTCCATCCCTCGCCGAGCCCACGAGGCTGACTCTGGCTATTGCCTGTGACAGTGTCTGTGCTACAGCGGCAGAGCTCAACAGTTATGACAGGGGGGCAAAGCCAAAAATATTTACCGTCTGGTTTTCTATTGCTGCTGTAACAAGTTATGACAAACTTAGTTCATTAAAATGATGCAAATTAATTCTCCCACAGTTCTGGAAGCCAGAAGTCTGAAACCAGTTTCACAGGGTAGAAATCAGGGTTTAAGCAGGACTGCTGCCCTCCTGAGGCTCCAGAGGAGTCCGCTTCCTTGCCTTTCCCAGGTTTCAGAGCTGCAATCCTTGGCCCTTTCTGCCTTCAAAGCCTACATTTAGCATCTTTGCATCACTCCCTGCTTCCATTTTCACAGCACCTTCTCTTACTCATAAGGGCCTGTGATTACATGGGGCCCACCTGACAATTCAGGATCTCAATTGTGACCTTAATCTGATCACATCTATAAAGTCCCCTTTGCCATATAAGGTAGGAGTCACAGGTTCGTGGACAGACAAGGGTATTATTCAGCCCACACATGGCTCTTTAGGAAAAACTTTTCTTGGCTGGGAATGCTAGCTTCTGCCTGTAATCCCAGCACTTTGGGAGGCTGAGGTGGAAGGACTGCTTGAGCCCAGGAGGTGGAAGCTGCAGTGAGTCATGATTGGGTCACAGCACCTTTGCCCTCCAGACTGAGTGACAGAGTGAAACCCTGTCTCAAAAAAACAAAAAAGGCCCGAAAAAGTTTTCTGAGCCAGGTTCTGCGTAGATGTTCACTGTATATCTGGGATGACTTCGAGATTTATTCTATGGCCTTGTTGCATAGTACTTTGATTTCTGTAATTTTGAAAAAAATTTATGTTCTGATTAAAGATTTTCTATTTAAAAAACAAAACAAAACAATATCACCTACTTAATTGGCTCCTTAAAAATGAAGTTTCTCAAATATATTTTATGCTTGAAATCCCTCATTGCCCTGTGGAAAGGCAGCTTAACACACGGCCTTTATAAACAAGTCTGTGGTGCATTTAAACATTTTTGTTTCAAAACGAAGGCAGTTCCTCTATTATCAAAACTCTGAGCGCAAATGTTGGTACTCATACTGAACTTCAAGCCAATGCCAATTACAAGCAATAAAAGTCATATGGACTGATATCCTGAAAACTGATGGATTTTAAAACCCAATACAGTGCATTCAATTCCTTTGGAAAGCTGTTTAGGCCTTTTACTTATGATGAGATTCAGATTTGATCAAATTACTTTATGGTTTTCCTTTTGAAAGTATTCCCTCTTCATTTAAATAATGTCCCAAACAGGCAAAACTGTTCCATGGGATATTTAGGAATAGACATTTACTTTATTATGCATTTCAAAGTAACCTACACTTGATGCATTTATTTTCTTTTTCTTTTCTTTTTTTTTTTTTTTTTTTTTTTTTTTTTTTTTTTTTTTTTTTTTTTTTTTTTGAGTTGGGGTCTTGTTCTGTACTTAGGCTGGAGTTCAGTGGTGTGATCTCGGCTCACTGCAACCTCTGCCTCCCAGGTTCAATTCTCCTGCCTCAGCCTCTCAAGTAGCTGAGACTATTGGCATGCACCACCACATCCGGCTAGTTCTGTATTTTTAGTAGAGGCGGGGTTTCACCATGTTGGTCAGGCTGGTCTCAAACTCCTGACCTCAAGTGATCCACCCAAGCCAGCCTCCCAAAGTGCTGGGATCACAGGCGTGAGCCATGTGCCCGGTCCACTAAATGCATTTCTATGTGCCACACTCATATAAGCTGTGAACCACCAGCATTTTGCACCAGCTATTTCCAACTGAACTTTGCATTTCAGTAGCTACAGTACTTTGCATTTGTCAGTCAGTTGAGAGGAACAGGCCCTGCTTCTTTGGGCTGCTCTGTGTGGTCAAAGGGTATACCAGGAGAAAGCCTTGGCTCAAGCAGGAGTGGAGCTGGCTAAGTTCATACCTAGTGCCTGCCCTGACCTCTGCTCACCTCAGAACCCCTGTGATAAGTTATCACTGTCTCAAGGCTAAGGCCTGGCAGCCTTGGGAGGGAATGCATTTGCAATGTCATTACGTGTGTTATAGGTAGAATTATGCCCCCTCAACAATGCTGAAAAACATTCATGTTAAAGTCCTAAGCTCCCCAGGACCTATATGGTTGTGTATACAGACAGCGTCTTTACAGAAGTAGTCAAGTTTAACAGAAGTCACTGGGGTACACCCTATTCCAATATGACTGGTGTCCTTATAAGAAGAGGAACTTTGGGGCCGGGCAAGGTGGCTCACGCCTGTAATCCCAATATTTTGGGAGGCTGAGGTGGTTAGATCATTTGAGGTCTGGAGTTCGAGACCAGCCTGGCCAACATGGCGAAACCCTGTCTCTACTAAAAATACAAAAATTAGCAAGGTGTGGTGGTGCATGCCTGTAGTCCCAACTACTTGGGAGGCTGAGACAGGAGAAAGGCTTGAACCCAGGAGGCAGAGTTTGCAGTGAGACGAGATTGCACCACTGCACTCTAGCCTCTGGGCAACTGAGACACCATCTAAAAAAAAAAAAAAAAAAAAAAAAGGAACTTTGGGTGAGGTTTGGTAGCTAGTATCTGCAATCCCAACATTTTGGGAGGCTTAGGCAGAAGGATCTCTTGAGGCCAGGAGTTCAAAACCAGCCTGGGCAAATAAAGAGATCTTGTCTCTAAAAAACTTTAAAAAGAGGAAATTTTGGACACAGGTTCAAAGATGATGTGGAGACTCAGGGAGAAGACAGCAATCTACACATCAAGGAGAAGGGCCTGGAACACATCCCTCCTTCCCAACCCTCAGAGGGGACCTACACTGCTGACACCCTGATGTGGGACTTCTAGGTTCTGAATTGCAAGACCAAAAAAAGTCTGTTGTTTAAGCCACCCAGTCTGTGGTACTTTGTAATGGAAATCATAGCAAACTAATAAACAGGGTAAGAGACCCTGTTTCCAGAGGAATTCTAGAACTGGAATTCTCCTAGAACAAAAACCACATGGTTCAAAATATACAAACTGCAATCTCTGGAGTTCTCTCAACTCCTTTTCTGTCCAGATTACATCTACAATAAATGGGAGAAAATAGATAGAAAGTCTGTATCCATGATATCATCTGTATAACCTAATGAGCAACAGCCGAGCTCAGGGATCAGCCAGGCTCGGCTCCGCCAGGCCCGCCATACTGTAGGATGTTTGCACACTGGCAGCCTGGTTCCTTACGTCTCTGTGCTCCTCTGCCCTTTGGTTTCCTCGTCTGCAATATGGGGGTAATACTAACACCTACTTCAGCAGGGTGTTGTGAGAATTAAGGAGAGAGATATATATGAGAAATCTCATCACGTACTATAATAATTTCATTACTACTCTGTTTCTAACCAGACTCTTAAGAGAAATATACAAAAGCCTACACACTAGGATTAGAAACGTTGAATGGAAATTTTAAAACACTAGAATTTGGCATATCAAGTTTTCCACTTAAAAGATGTGGACACTGATGGCGGGGCACGGTGGCTTATGCCTGTAATCCCAGGACTTTGGGAGTCTGAGGCGGGAGGATCATGAGATCAGGAGTTTGAGACCAGCCTGGCCAATATGATGAAACCCTGTCTCTACTAACAACACAAAAATTAGCTGGGCATGGTGGCTTGTACCTCTAATCCCAGCTACTCTAGAGCCTGAGGCAGAAGAATCACTTGAACCCAGGAAGCGGAAGTTGCAGTGAGCCAAGATCGCATCACGGTACTCCAGCCTGGGCAACAGGAGACTCTAAAAAAAAAAAAAAAAAGAAAAAAAAAAGATGTGGACCCTGAAGCTAAATAAAGGTACAGAGACTTGCGCAACTTCACTTTGATAAAAAGTGACCTCACCAAGATCTAGACCTGGGCTCTGTAGCCCTGAGTGTGCACTAAACCACCACCCTGCAGTTCTGCTGGGTGCCCTTTGCTTTTTCCCCTGGATGCTTCAGGCCGAGTCAGAGGGATACAGACAAGTTGTGTCCCCCAAATTCTTATGCAGAAACCCTAACTGGCAATGTAAGTGTCTGTGAAAGCAGAACTTTAAGGGATGGTTAGGTTCATTGAGGTCATAAGGGTGGGGCCCTAATCTGATAGGACTGGTGGCCTCATGAGCAGAGGACAAGAGGACTCTCTCTCCTCCTGCACACACCAAGAAAAGGCCATGTGAGAACGCAAGGAGCAGGGGATGGTCTGCAAGCCAGGGAGAGGCCCGCCCAAGAACTCACCACGCTGGCACCCTGATCTTGGACGCTCAACCTCCAGAGCTGTGGGAAGATAAATCTCTGTTCTTTAACCCTCTGTCTGGGGCTTTGTTGCGGCAGCCCAGCTGAGGAAGACAGCCACAGGGTCTGCAAAGCTGTGGGATCTGAGCACAGGGTAGTGTACTTATGGCATCCAGACTCACACTTGTGCAGTGGTGAAGTCCAACGAACGGGAAGCTTGTGACAGGCTCCTTTGCCAACACGGTGGCTTGCTGGTAATACAGTTCCGGAGCCAGGACCCAGCACTTCCGAGGGCACATGGGGACAGTGTTTAGCATGGACTACAATGATATCTTAGAGAGTGGCTCTGCAGACTTCACTGTGGAAAGGTGGCCTTTATCTATGTGGCGCGCCTGAACACTCACTAGGCGCACGCCATGGGTCACCAAGGTAGTTTTGCAGAAGTGCAAAGTCAATTCTCTCTTGCTCAGCCCTGAAGACTACATCCTCTTAAGTGCAGACAAATATGAGATTAAGATTTGGCCAGTTGGGAGAGAAATCAACTGTAAGTGCTTAAAGACATTATCTTGTCTCTGAGGATGGAAGGATCTGCTTGCAGCCAAGACTTCATTTGGATGGCAAATACATTGTCTATAGCTCAGCACGCAGTCTCTACCAGCAACTTCGCCTCCGGTTATGCTATTCTCAGGGTCATCAAGACTCCTGAGATAGCAAACTTGGCCTTTCTTGGCTTTGGAAATACTTTTGCTCTGCTGTTTGACAGCCACCACCTATACATCACAGACTTGCAGACACAGAGCCTGATTAGTCGCTGGCCTCTGCCAGAGTACAGGAAATCAAAGAGAGGCTCAAGCTTCCTGGCAGGTGAAGCATCCTGGTTGAATGGACCAGATGGGCACAATGACACGGGCTTGGTCTTTGCCAGCAGCATGCCTGACCACAGTATTCACCTGGTGTGGAAGGAACATGGCTGACACCATGAGCCACCACTGCTGACTGACTTTGGGTGCCAGGGCCATAGGCTTTGGGTGCAACCTCTACAGCAGCTGACTGCATGAAACAAAGTTCTCACCTAATGGTATCATCACGCAGTGCACATCATTTGTATCTATGTTTGCCAGGGGGCCAGGACCTGGAGTAGGAGAAGGCTTGTTTTACTGACTCACAATGCAGTATGCTATGCTAACGGGGTACACCATTGACCTCATTTGTACTTAGTTATGCTGGTGAATGCAAGAGGATGCACTCTGGGTTCATCTTTCTTGAGTGGAATATTGGTTGTAAGTAAAGTTAAATGATTCATTAATCTGATCATTGGTTGCCTATGAAATCAGATTGTCTGTTATTAAAGCTTTTCACCCTAAAAAAAAGAATCTCTGTTCTTTGGCCAGCTGTCTGTGGGACTTTGCTATGGCAGCCCAGCTGAGAAAAACAGTCCCAGCGGCAGGGGTCAACAGGACTTCTTCTTGGAGCAACCTTTTAAATGATGTCCTATGCATTTTGTAAAAATGCTGTGCAACTTCATCGAGCCCGAGCAGCTGTATCAGGATGCTGTGAGGGTCCTATGCCCTGTGGTTGCGTGTCCCCAGCAGGCATTCTCCCTGGCTAGGGAGGCTGGAGAGGTGACTGCTTGTCCTGGTACAGCTCTGAGGAGGTCTGGCAACATCTCCTCATCCAGACCCTGTTCCCTTTCTTCATCCTGGAAGTCTTAGCCTCAGGCTGCTTTTATTTTGGGTGGTAGGGGGGTCAGTGAGGGGAGGGGGACAGGGTCTCGCTCTGTTGCCCAGGTTGGAGTACAGTGGCACAATCCTAACTCACTGCATTTTTGACTTCCTGGGCTCAGGGGATCCTCCCACCTCAGCCTCCTGAGTAGCTGAAACCACAGGCGTGCACCACCATACCTGGCTAATTTTTGTATTTTTTACAGAGACAAGGTCTTGCTATCTTGCTCAGGCTGTTCTCAAACCTCCAAGCTCAAGCAATCTTCTGCCTCGGCCTCCCACAGTGCTGGGACTACAGGCAGGAGCCACTGCATCTGGCCTGATTCCTTCCCGGCTGATGGGTCTCCCAGCAGCACCAGGCTTTGCAGTAGCAGCAGCACCACTGGTGGTCGTGGCTGGAAAAACTCGTGCTAGGGCCATGCGTCATATGGCAGCTGAGCACTGAAGAGCACAGTGAGGAGGCCATGGGTCAACAGGGAAGGCTGGAGGGAGGTGACGCTGGGTCTTGGTGACAGTCAAGGCCCAAACTCATGCCCTGCTGCCATGAGGGGTTTGTGGCTCCCCTTGGGGGCGTGAGGGCACTTGGGAGCAGCAGGCTAGGTGGGGCTTGCTTCCCAGACACACCCCACATTGCTCCACACAGGACATTCTTGGAGGGATCAGGTACGCTTCCCAGGTACAGACCCCGTGCTTTTCAACATCCCTGTGCCAGAGTCCATGCTAGATGCACCGGTTCACCCACAAAGCATGTTCCCAACAAAAGAGAGAGTGGAATATGTCTAACATCCCAATCCTGGGACTGGAAGCTTAACCATTAAACAAACCTGGGAACGTAGAGCTTTAAACTAATTTTGCAACTGGAACAGTCTGGTTGTTAAATGTGGGGGCTGGTCTGGAGGAGTTACTGAATGGCCCGGCTATGGGGTTGGAAGTGTGGACACAAGCTGAAGGCAGCAGCCCAGCTTTTAGTTTCCCGTGTGCTTGTTAATGGCAGCAGCTGCAGCTGAAATCACAGAAGGCTGTAGGGGTTTTCCAAGCCACAGGCATCTGGGCGGTGTGGCATGGGGCTGTCCTGCCTCCTTGCCTCTTCTCATGTGTGCGAAGTGCACTTTGGCCTTCTGCCACTGCATGGGGCTGAATGAATTATGATGAATGTTCCCGCCCTTCTCAATCTTTGTTTCTGGGCCCCTCTGCCACCCATTCTCCTGCTTCTCAAGTCCAACTCCTCAGCCACCCCCTCCCAGTCTCCTTACTTCTGCTCAGCCCCCTCATGTGGGGCTTCCTGGGGCTCCATCCTCACCACCTGTCCACACTCTCAGCCCCAGTGAGCTCCTGCATCCCATGGCTTTAAACACCACCATGGCAATCCCACCTCAGCTTTCCGTCCCACCCTGACCTCTTCCTTCAATTCCAGGCTCATGAATCATGAAGTCTCTGCTTTCCTGTGTCCAAACCTGAACTCTTGGTTTCTGCCCTCCTTGACCTGCTCAGTTCTGTCTCTGGTCCTCGTTTTCTCAAGGAATGCCCCAGCAGTGATGCCATCCTCCATGCCCACAGAGCCAATCTCCATCAGTCCTAAAATCCTGCCACCCCCTCTCCTCCTCCTCCAGCCCCCTGCTCACAGGTGTGTGCACCTCCCTCCTACAGGGTAAAAACCCCCTACCAGTCCCCCTGCTGCTGCCCCTGCTTCCTGATGGTCTATCCTCCAGGAAGAGGCCGTGGCTGCCTTGGTCATGCCAAGCAGGAGGCTGCTGTGTGCTGGGAGCTGTCAGGCCTGTTCCTGACAGGGAAGGGCCCATCCACCTCCCAAGCCCAGTTAGTGCAGTCCTTTTCAATGTCAGACTCAGGGCCTTGCACCAGCTAAGCTCCCCACCCTTCCCACTGTTAAAGTGGATAGGAGCAGGGCTAGACCCAGCCTGCTGACTCTGGGCTTCCACCAGGAGAGGTGGCCCTGGCAGTACAAACTATAGGGGCCTGAGGGGTGGGAGAGGAGAGAAAGTGGCATGTTTCTTGCTTGCTCCCTCTGCCAGCCTTGCCCAAATCCCTGCAGCCACCCTAATCCAGTCTGTCTAATGGAGCCCAAGCCGGCTCAGGCCTCGTATGAGAAGCCTGCTAATCCCTGTGCCTAGGAGGTCACCACCTGTCTCCAGGATGCCCTTTGCTCTCTTGGCATCAGAGAGCCAAATCCTGGGCCTCAGATGGGGGCGATGGTAAAGGCATCTTTTGGCCAAACCCCCTCACCTTGGCCCCCACGATGAAATGGGGAAAGTTAGGTACAGAGAGCCTCACGCAGTGTATGCCACAGCTCGAGTCGCTGCCTCAGACCCAAAGCCCAGGGAGGCTTTAGAAACAGCCGGAACAACCCATGGGGACTCCATCTTCCCATGCAAGAGCGGGCAGTGGGAGCTGCAGGGAGAGCCGGCTCCTCCCCTCCCCTCATCAAGGGCAGTGTACGCTGGTGGTTTCATGCCATTCTGGGTGCAAATCCCAATGCCCACACGTGCCAGCTGCATGCCCTTGGGCATGTCAGCTCACTCTTCAAGAGCGATTTCCCGACTGCAGGGTGTGGTAAGTTCGCTAATATTAAAGGCTGCTCACTCCTGGTCCCTTCCTGCCCCTTGCTCTTCCTCCTCCTGCTTAGGCCCTCCCAGCTCAGGCAGCCCCTGCTCCCTGCAGGGTTTTGCAAGGAGAAAGCGGGGGAGTACCTTAGGCAACTGCAGTCAAGAGCACTGGCAGACAGAACAGAGGGAGAGGGACAGACACAGGACAGAGGGAGAGAGACAGACACAGGACAGAGGGAGAGAGACAGACACAGGACAGAGGGAGAGAATGAGAAAGGGGTTAGGGACACGAAGAGATAACATCAGGGAGAGGCAGGAAGGGACAGAGAAAGATTTCCAAGAAGAGGACAGAGGCAAGAAAGCCAGAGGCAGAGACTGAGGAACAAAGGAGGCAGAAGACAGAGACAGAGAGATGGCTAGAGACTCCGTGTCAGACACAGCCGCAGAGAGACAGCCAGAGTCTGAGTCAGACATGGACCAAAGACAGGAAAACAGGAGACAGACCCAGAGATTAGGAGAGGGAGGGGACCGAGATTCAGGGAGAGTCAGCACCCCCACCCCCATGCTCAGGAGGGGTCTCCACCCTCGGAGCGGCCTCTCATCCCTCCCCAGAATCCTTAAATCCTCTCTCGCTCAGGACCTCGGTGGCATCTGTCATAGACTTGTCCTGAACCGATAGCGGCTGGCGCAGGTGACTGGCTGGGTGTTCGCTGGGGATGGACCTCGAGGAAGAGGGGCCAGGCCGTCAGGAAGTGGGAGGCCTGGAGGGGTGGAGGCGGTGGTCGGGCGGGACCCCAGGCGATAGGGTTCAGCGCTGGTGAGAGCCAGATGGACGCCTGGGCAGGCCAGCTGAGCTAACTCCCCAGAGCCAAAGTGGAAGGCGCGCCCGGAGCGCCTTCTCTCCTGGACCCCGGTGTCCCTCCCGGCGCCCTGAGCCCGCGCCCTCCTTCCCCCAGCCCTCAGAGCGTTCCCCACCCCTCTGTCTCCCCGCAGCCCGCTAGACGAGCCGATGGCGCGGCCCGGGAGCGTCCGGGAGCCGCTGCTCGTGGCGCTGCTACCGCTGGCGTGGTTGGCGCAGGCGGCCCTGGCGCGCGCGGCGGACTCGGTGCGCCTGGCGGGCGGCCTGACACTGGGCGGCCTGTTCCCGGTGCACGCGAGGGGCGCGGCAGGCCGGGCATGCGGGCCGCTGAAGAAGGAGCAGGGCGTGCACCGACTGGAGGCCATGCTGTACGCGCTGGACCGCGTCAACGCCGACCCTGAGCTGCTGCCCGGCGTGCGCCTGGGCGCGCGGCTGCTGGACACCTGCTCGCGGGACACCTACGCGCTGGAGCAGGCGCTGAGCTTCGTGCAGGCGCTGATCCGCGGCCGCGGCGACGGCGACGAGGTGGGCGTGCGCTGCCCAGGAGGCGTCCCTCCGCTGCGCACCGCGCCCCCTGAGCGCGTCGTGGCCGTCGTGGGCGCCTCGGCCAGCTCCGTCTCCATCATGGTCGCCAACGTTCTGCGCCTGTTTGCGGTGAGGGCCGGGTGGCCGAGAGTGTCTCTCTCCCTTCCTCGCCCTGGGGTGGCCCGAGTCTCCTTTCTTTACTTCTTCTGGAAGAGTTTCCGTTTTAATCAATCACTCGAATTCACACAGCGTCAAAGAAATCCTGTTCGCTGGGCCCTACGCAGGACTGAATCGGATCCACTCAATCACTCCAGCCACCCTTGTGTACCCGGTCCCGCAAGGGCGCCCCTTCCCCGGCGGGTGCCACCTACGCCTAAGCCGGTTGGTTGGGGAGGGCGGCCTGGACTTCAGTTCCCATTTGCCGGCCTGCTCGGGTGTCCTTGTTCTGGGCACACCCCCTGCAACCACACTAGGTGCTCCTGCCCCCTGGACCTGCGTAGGCTCGAGTGATGAACTTGAGTTGTATTTGGAACGGGGCCCTTCTTCCAGAGCAGCAACTGGGACATGTCCTTGAGCTGCTGTGGGGGTAGATAGGCCCGAAGGGTCTGGTCCTTCTCCTTTTTGATCATTTAAATTCATTCTCAAAATATCTGCCTTGAACCCTCCCTCAAGGGGCGTCCGAGAGTGGTGCGGGGTGTTCCTTTCTGAGCGCTGGTCTCCTGCACCCTACCCTGCTCAGGTGCCCAGGCTGGCCCTGCCCTGTCCTCAAATGTAGGGAACTGTCCTGTGAGGGACAGCGTGTTCCTTGCAGTTCTAGGGGCCAGAGGAATTGGGATTAGGGGGCTTTGGCATATGAGTTTGGGAGTTTTCGATTTGGTCATTAACCAGGGGTTGTGGGACAGTTTTTCTGGGTTTCTGTGGGGGGGAGGGCCATTTGCATGCGACTGTCTGTGAAGGAGGAAGGCCTAGCTTCCATCTGCCTAGTGGAGGAACTTCTGTTTCCTGAGAGTTTCTCCCACTCTCCCAGGAGCAGCATCTGCGTTTGCTCCCGCATGCTGGGCTGCTCCCCATCGGCTGAGCACATGGAAGCCCCCATCCCTATTTCCTGGGGTGGGCAGTGTTAACGTGGCCAGACGCACACCTCCATGCTGGCACCAGAGAGGCTGTGCTGCGGCCCAGGGGTTTTTCAGCCACTTGTGTGTGTCCCCGGCCCTGCCTAGAGCTCTAGTTTCTGTCTCTGTCCTCTATATCGAATGCAGAGATCCCAAACCCCAGGGCTTTCAAGGGGCCAGTTGGGGACTCAAGGAGGCAGGACCCTGTGAGCCCAGGGCTTGCTACTGCCAACTCAGCCCAGACTGAGGTTGTGCTGCCGGGCTAGAAATGCAAACATTAAAACAATAAAAACGGTGTGCGAAGCACAGCCACAGGCAAGATGCTGCAATTCCTGGTCTGAAAGAAACAATACATTCATTTCCCTGCCCCACTGTGCTGGCAGGCATCTTCAGTTAACTTCCCTGACGAAGGTTCTTCCCAAACTCAAGTGTCCAGGAGTGCTAAGAGGACCACAGCATTGCTCACTGAGCTGTGGCCCCGGGGACTTTCTTGCCTCCTGTTCTCCTGGGTTTTTTTTCTCTCTCTCACCTTCTTGTTTCTCTCCACTACCACCTCCCTCCTTTCTCTCTCCCTGCACCTCCGTGCTTCCTTTTCATGCTGTCTCCACACTTTCTATCCTGCTTCAAACAACCCTGGGCCAGCCCCGCCTCCCCTTCCAAAAACCCTGTGTCTCTGGCCTTCACACCAGCTACTGCTGTAGCCCCTCTTGCCCTGGAGCCCCGGAGCCCCCTCTTGCCTGCCTTCTCAGCCCTGTGCCTCGCCTCCACACTCCCTGGTCAGTTCAGCCACTGATCTCTGCTGTTAATCACTCTAATGCACGCAGAGAAACCCAGTTTTCAACAAACCCAATCCTAGGCCAGACACAGCCTTAAATCAAACACCTGCCGCTGCTCCCCTGTCTGCCCTAATCCCTCCTCGAGCTGCTCGCCCCTTCAGACTGTCCCTTTGTGTGAATCAGGTATATGTACTTTCCCCTGGGGCTGATTAGGACAGGCAGATGCAGCTGGATGGGCTGCAGGTCCTCTGCTGGGGGATTCTTGCTCGGGACACAGCTTGTACCACAGTACGTGGCCATCCTGCCCTCTCCCCTAGACCTGCATACCTCCCACATTCACAACCTTCACAGAGTTCCCAGGCCCACTCACAAAACGCAGACCTTGTCCCATACCTTCTAGCCTTTCCAGGTGGCTGCTCCAGGTGGCCCCAGGTCACCGTCCCAAACCTTCCATGCCCCATCTGTGTCCCAGGTCCCTGCCCCACACCTTCTGTGCCCCGTCCATGTCCTGGGCCCCCCTTGTCCTCCCTCTATCGAGTTACTGACCTCCATCCACAGCCCAGCTGTCCTTCCTGCCCCCAGATACCCCAGATCAGCTATGCCTCCACAGCCCCGGAGCTCAGCGACTCCACGCGCTATGACTTCTTCTCCCGGGTGGTGCCACCTGACTCCTACCAGGCCCAGGCCATGGTGGACATCGTGAGGGCACTGGGATGGAACTATGTGTCCACGCTGGCCTCTGAGGGCAACTATGGAGAAAGCGGGGTTGAGGCCTTTGTTCAGATCTCCCGAGAGGCTGGTGAGCTGGGGACTCCCAGGCATCAAGGGGTCTATAGAGGGTGGGCCCAGGGCCCTTGGGTGGGGCAGAAGCAGGGAGATGAGGCGCTTGGGTCCATGGTGAGCTCCAGGGCCAAGGTTGCCTGGCTGGTGCTCCATGTGGGCAGGGCCTCTCCTTTGGAGGACTCAGCCCTGCCTCAAGCCTGGTGGATGGTGCAGGCCAGATTTCATCCCCTGCAGACCCCTCAGCCAGGCTACACAGTCCTAGGCAGTGGTGGCCAGGTGGGTGTGTGGGTGGATGGGACAGAAGCTGACTTTGGCACCCCCAACACCCAGGGGGGGTCTGTATTGCCCAGTCCATCAAGATTCCCAGGGAACCAAAGCCAGGAGAGTTCAACAAGGTGATCAGGAGACTCATGGAGACGCCCAACGCCCGGGCCATCATAATCTTTGCCAATGAGGATGACATCAGGTGGGATGGTGGCACAATCGCCGGGCTCCTTGGGGCTCTCCCTGAGGGTCCCGCCCCTGCTCTTGCACATCACTGCCTTACGCACACCCTCCCTGCCTCCCTTTCCCCAGCTCCCTGCACCCTGGACCTTCCCTGCTGCTGGCTTTGAGTCTGGTGCCCCCAGCGGTGAAGCATTCTTGTCTGGGGAGATGCCATAAACCTAAACCAAGTAGCACACAGAACTGGTGTCTGTGTTTACAGCTCCCAGGGTGTGGGGAGGGACCTGAAGGCAGATCTGAGTGCAGAAAAAGAGCTGTTAGGGAAGGAGCCCAGGGTCCATATAGAGGTGTGGGAGGGACCTGAAGGCGGATCTGAGTGCAGAAAAGGAGCTGTTAGGGAAGGAGCCCAGGGTCCATATAGAGGCTGTGGACCTCGGCCCGAAACCCACTGGCCCCGAGCTCATATCCAGCCTGGGAGGTTAGGTGTGACGTTGGCGGAGGTGTGTGGGGCAGGGGTGGCTTCTAACTGGATTTTCCCTGAAGAAGTCCCCCCCATACAGTGGGTTACAGTGGCCAGAGCAAGTGGGCAGGCCTGGGGTCAGAGGGAAGGCCTGGGGTCAGAGGAAATCCCAGGGAAAGTGTGCTAAATGCCTCAAGCCCCGTGTTTCCTGAGAAACAAGGATCTGCTGAGTGTTTGTGGAGCAGGGGAGATGCATAGAGTGGGAAGGAACCAGGGCCAAGCTGGAAGAGGTTCCCAGACCCTCCCTCACCACAGCCCTGTTCCTACCAGGCGGGTCCTAGAGGCAGCTCACCAGGCCAACCTGACCGGCCACTTCCTGTGGGTCGGCTCAGACAGCTGGGGAGCCAAGACCTCGCCTATCCTGAGCCTGGAGGAAGTGGCCATTGGGGCCATCACCATCCTCCCCAAAAGGGCCTCCATTGACGGTGAGTCTGGGGGCACTGAGTTCCCCACCCCACGTGTCTCCCCAGCACCCCCTCTTGGGGATGCTCTTTTCTGCATCGTGTAATTGGTGTGATAATCCAGGTCCCTTCTCAGATCCCCAGATCCCATGATTCTGATAATCTGTGGACACATCCCTCCAAGCAGTGCTTAAATGGGATGGCGTGAGGAAAAGCACACTCCACTCACTGGACAGGGGAGGAATTGTTGGTTTTGTTTTTAAATTTAGTGCCTGTATTTCTAGTTCTGCCAAATACATTCTAATCTGAGGGTGAGGGTGGGAGGGAGAGAAACCAAGGATGTGGAATATACCATCCTGTTGATCAAAGTGATGCGGCCCTTGCACCCCCAGTCCCACCTGTGGATCTGGATGAATCCAGCAGGGAGAGACGGTTCACCTTACAATAGGATTGCTCATTTTCCCCAAGGCTGGACTGAGGACGCCTTGATGACACACGTCAGGGCTATTTTATGAAACACAGACCCTGGACATGGGGAGCCCTGGGTGCTAGGGCTTCCCAGCCTTAGGGGGATATACACCATCACACCAGCTCCGATGCATTTGGGTGCCAGTGACAGCCTGGACTGAGGGTAGTTTTAGTGATAAAGGCATCTCATCACAAAACAAGACGTCTAAGAGTTGGCAACTTTAGGTGTGGGGCAGTGAGTGAGTGACACTCTCAAAGCCCTGGCCTCTGTCCATTCTTTTGTTCCACCATTTCCTGTGGTTGCCTTGTGTCTTCCTGCTTGTGGTCTCATAATCACAAGGTGGCTGCTGAGGCACCACCCATTACATCTTCACAGCAGCATCCTAACAGGAAAGAAGGAGCAGTGATAAAAAGTCTTTCAATTGGTGAGGCTTGAGTTTGCATTAGCATGTAAGTTCTACCCTGGAACCCCCAGTTGGCTCTGAGTCCACCAATCAGAACTTGGTCACCTGGCCACTCCTAGCTGCAAAGTGAGCATGTGGCAGAAAGACACAGGAGTAACACAGCTGGCTTGGGTCATCACCACCCTCCCCCTCCTTCTCTTTCTGTAGGTTTTGACCAGTACTTCATGACTCGGTCCCTGGAGAACAACCGCAGGAACATCTGGTTCGCCGAGTTCTGGGAAGAGAATTTTAACTGCAAACTGACCAGCTCAGGTACCCAGTCAGATGATTCTACCCGCAAATGCACAGGTGAGAGCTGCCCAGGGTGGCAAGGGTAGGGAGAGGGAAGGTGGGATGCCGGGTTGGGTGCATGGGGGCCGGACACACTTTCTCTGGGCATCCCTAGGACAGGCGAGGAACGCATCGGCCGGGACTCCACCTACGAGCAGGAGGGCAAGGTGCAGTTTGTGATCGATGCGGTGTATGCCATTGCCCACGCCCTCCACAGCATGCACCAGGCACTCTGCCCTGGGCACACAGGCCTGTGCCCGGCGATGGAACCCACCGACGGGCGGATGCTGCTGCAGTATATCCGAGCTGTTCGCTTCAATGGTGAGCGGGTGCCTGGACACCTGCAGTAGTGAAGGCAGCAGGCAGGATGGCTTTGTCTGTGGAGGCTGGGATGACCTCAGGGTGGAAGCGCTGGGAGAGGCTGTGTGGTCGAGTTGGGGCGCCTGGGGCTGAGTGCCAGAGACTTGAGACAAGTTCCGGTCCCCACTTTTTAACACTACTCCCTCCCGGGCTTCAGTGTTCCCTGTGCTGGTTTCCACATTCAGATGCTGGGGAGCTTCTCTGTGATCCCTTCTGCCTGGAACCCTCAGTGGATCACACAGCACTCCCCTCCACTGTGCAGAGCTTGAGGGCCTGTGGACTCCGGGAGCGCACATGGGGCGAAGTTAAGACTACATGGGGGGCCTACCCAGGGACACGCTGCCCACTCTGAGTCACATGCTAGGTACAGGTGTGGGTCTGATGTGTCCCTTGGCATCAGCCTTGGTGTGTGGTCAGGGCTCAAAATTGTGTCTTCTGAGAAGACCCCAGTGGACTCAAGCTGTGTCCACAGTTTGTGGAGAGATGACTTTCTGTCCAATTACTATCCTTTACACAATTCAAAACTCCGCTATTCCACTAAACACTCACTCGCCACCTTCTCTCCGCCATGTTCTCTGCTAATCAATTCAGCTTAATATTACTCCAGAGCAGTTCTGTAGGCTGGTGGAACAAGCTTGTAAGAAAAATAGAGCTCATTGTTCCAGTCATTCCAATTTCATACTATCCCTCAGACCTCTCTCCATGTCTGAACTCATCCCCTAGCCTGGACAGTGAAACTTTTTTCATTTTTAATTGTGATAAAATACACATAATATAAAATGTATCACCTTAACCATTTTTAAGTGTAGAATTCAGTCGTGTTAAATACATTCAGGCCCTGGTCAGCGGCTCATGCCTGTAATCTCAGCACTTTGGGAGGCTGAGGCGAGCGGATCACTGGAGGTCAGCAGTTCGAGACCAGCCTGGCCAACATGGTGAAACCTTGTCTCTACTAAAAATACAAAAATTTTGTAGTTACTCTACTAAAAATACAAAAAGTTTTAAATTGTATAAAGGATAATAAAAAATTAGCTGGGTATGGTGGCGGGTGCCAGTAATCGCAGCCACTCAGGAGGCTGAGACAAGAGAATTGCTTGAACCTGGGAGGCAGAGGTTGTGGTGAGCCAGGATCACACCAGCCTGGGCGGCAGAATGAGAGTCTGTCTCAAAACTTAAAAAAAAAAAAAAAAAAATCTGAGTGTTGTGCAGCCATCACCACCATCCATCCCCAGAACTCTTCATCTATGAAACCAACACTCTGTACACATTAAACGACTCCCCACGTCCTCCTCCCACCAGCCCTGCAACCACCATTCCATTGCCCCTCTCTATGAATTCTCTCCCCTCGGTACCTCCTGTGGTAGCATCAGACAGTATTTGCCCATGTGTGACTGGCTTGTTTCACTGAGCATCATGTCCTCAGGGTCCATCTATTTTATAGCATGGGTCAGAACTCCCTCCCTTTTGAGGGCTGAATCGAATCCCATTGTATGCATGGGCCCCATCATGTTCATCCGTTCCTGTCAGTGGACACTAGGGTTGCTCCCACAATGTGAATAATGCTGCTATGGACACGGCTGTACAAGTATTTCTTTGCCACCCTGCTTTCTAGTCTTTTGGGTATCTATCTGGGAGTGGAATTGCTGGGTCATGTTTTTAATTTTTTGAGGAGGCTGCTTTCTGCAGCAGCTGCAGCCTTTTCCTGTCCACCCTGCCCAAGGGCTCTGATTTCTCCGCACACTTCACAATACTTGTTATTTTCTGGTTCTTGGATAGAAGCCATCCCAATGGGGGAAGGGGAATCTCCCTGTGGCTTGGATTTGCACCTCCCTTATGAGGAGTGTTGCTCGTTAAGCTCCCCCTTTCTCCTGCTGGTCTTTGGGGCCTCCCCAGGAGGCCAGCTCTGCTGGGCTGGAGGACCAACGAGGATACCGGGCTCTCCTTCCAGGCAGCGCAGGCACCCCTGTGATGTTCAATGAGAACGGAGATGCGCCTGGGCGGTACGACATCTTCCAGTACCAGGCGACCAACGGCAGTGCCAGCAGTGGCGGGTACCAGGCAGTGGGCCAGTGGGCAGAGACCCTCAGACTGGATGTGAGTGCGCAGACCAGGCTCCAGGTGGGCATGGGCCCAGGATTCTGGAGGCAGAGGCCACCAGCCTGTGTTTTGTGCATCTCAGGTGGAGGCCCTGCAGTGGTCTGGTGACCCCCACGAGGTGCCCTCGTCTCTATGCAGCCTCCCCTGCGGGCCAGGGGAGCGGAAGAAGATGGTGAAGGGCGTTCCCTGCTGTTGGCATTGCGAGGCCTGTGACGGGTACCGCTTCCAGGTGGATGAGTTCACGTGTGAGGCCTGTCCTGGTGACATGAGGCCCACGTCCAACCACACAGGCTGCCGCCCCACGCCTGTGGTGCGCCTGAGCTGGTCCTCCCCATGGGCAGCCCCGCCGCTCCTCCTGGCCGTGCTGGGCATTATGGCCACCACTACGGTGGTGGCCACCTTTGTGCGGCACAACAACACGCCCATCGTCCGGGCCTCGGGCCGAGAGCTCAGCTACGTCCTCCTCACCGGCATCTTCCTCATCTACGCCATCACCTTTCTCATGGTGGCTGAGCCCGGGGCCACGGTCTGTGCCGCCCGCAGGCTCTTCCTGGGCCTGGGAACGACCCTCAGCTATTCTGCCCTGCTCACCAAGACCAACCGTATCTACCGCATCTTCGAGCAGGGCAAGCGCTCGGTCACACCCCCTCCCTTCATCAGCCCCACTTCGCAGCTGGTCATCACCTTCAGCCTCACCTCCTTGCAGGTGGGTCCGTGGGCTCCCAGGGGCCAGGGCAGGGAGAGGGACTGTCCTCAACGTTAAAAAGCAGAAAAGGCCAGGCACAGTGGCTCACTCCTATAATCCCAGCACCTTGGGAGGCTGAGGTGGGTGGATCACCTGAGTCCAGGAGTTTGAGATCAGCCTGGGCAACATGGCATGACCCTGTCTCTACAAAAAATATGACAATTAGCCGGGCATGGTGATGCATGCCTGTGGTACCAGCTACTCGAGAGGCTGAGATGGGAGGACTGCTTGAGCCCAAGAGTTCAAGGTTGCTGTGAGCCAAGATTGCACCACTGCCCTCCAGCTTGGGCATCAGAGGAGACCCTGTCTCAAAACAAAAAGAGAAATGTTGATTCTAGAGTCACTCTTTTCTATTTTGGCTCCTGTGTTTTGTTTTGTTGTTTTATTTTTAAAGGCCACAGGAAAGGGAGCCCCCTCACTCCTGTGATGACAGCAGCTCAGTTAGGGCGGCCATCTTCCCAGCTGGGTCCTTGAAGGAACATGGGGCAGTAAGGTGGGGAGTGTGGGCCTCAGGGATCTTTCTGTACCACAGTGAAGTTATTTTCATAAACCGAACGTGCTTTTCCACAATTTGGCTCACATATGGAAATGGGATAAAGAGCTACATGACCAATTTTCCTGTTTCCACAAGGGAGTCACTGCTGCCCTGTTCACTGGGGCAGTGTGGATGAGAGGCGCAGGGTCCAACAGTTTACTGTGGAGTGGAGCATCGAATTCCATCCAGTGGCTGGTGTTTCATGCTGTGCTGTGCATTAAAAAATGGAGCTCCTTTAGGGGATTTTCCTAAGACAGTAAAGTTATTACAGCCTTGGAGACTGCTCCTGGAGTCTGGGATGCCCTGGATGTTTTCTGTGGGAAGGGTACAGATGGCTTGGGGAGGGTGACTTGGTGTGACATTGCAGGGCCAGCTGGGTTCTCAGGGCCAGGTGGAGGGTGGCCTCAGTGCCAACACCTGCTCATTTGGAAATGGCACTCTCCACTCCCAGCGAGCCCCTTCTCTACTGGTTCCACACATGCCACGTGCCTCGGTTTATGCAGTTCTTTGTGACTAGGAGGTACTCCCATCTTCCTCCAGATAACAGAACCTGAGTGTCCCCGGTCAGGCCCGGGGTCTCCGTGTGCCGCACATCCTGAGAAGGTGCACTCTACTTCCGGCCTGAGGTGCTCCATGCTTCCCCACCCCCAGGGGGAGATGCTTAGACCACATTTGGGACCTCTAGCTCTCCTCCCCAGCCCGAGCCATTACCCGACCCACACTATACCCTCCTTTCCAGATAAACGGCTCTTTAAACAAACACAAACTTGCAACTGGCCTAGGTGTTTTTGCCATGACTACCACATCATGATGGATGTGAAATGGCATCTCATTGCGGTTTTAATTTGCCTGCAGTTAATACTAGTGCACCCAGCCCTGGGGCTTTCCTCTCCTGTGCTTGGCCTGTTCCTGTCCTTTGCTCATTTTCTATTATTTTGCAGGAGTCGGTTCCTGAGTGAGGCATGCTCGCTCACTCTCAGTCCCATGGGCTGCAGCGTCCGTGGGCACGTTTTGGTTGTTACTGCTGTGCATCCCTGGACTTGCATTTTTGTTTCTTAAGAGAAACTTTTCTCCCCCACCTGGAGCCTTGTCCTAGTAGGAACTTCCAAACTTATTTTGGAAGTTCCTTTCTTCAGGGGTCTGCTGCCTTGGGGAAAAGCACAAAAAGCTGCTTCTTCTGGGTGGGCAGATGACTGCAAAGCATCCCTTCTGGCAGGATCACATGGCCCTGCTCCAGGTGCATGGCACGGCACTGGCATGCAGGCCAGATTCCAGTTCCACCCCACCCCCAATCAGGTGCTCTCGTGCACAAACGTGTTGGGCAGCACTTCCAGGGTCCCACCTTTATGCAGGTGGCTTCATTCCTGTTTCCCAGCTTCCCTTGGGTGGAGGTTGAGTTTCCTGTCCTGTGAGAGAATTGGAACTCCATCTCCTCCCTGTGGGAGCCTGCAGATGCCAACATTCCTCAGGCCACCTGGCAGCAACTCCCACTCCTGCTGCTCCCCACTGAGTGCCCCTGTTTCTCTTGCCTGTGATGTGCCCTTATTTTGAAGCTCACTACATGTGAGGAGGCTAGAGAGATGATGTAAGTAGGGCCTCAGTTCCACAGCTTCCAGCCGCAGCCATCTACCTTGAAGGGGTGAGGTCAATGGCATTGGTAATATTAATGGCTAGAACACAGGAAGAGGACACCAAGCTGCCCCTTATGCAAATTGCACTGATGTTGCCAACACATACAGCCAACACAGCCCTTCTCTGCAGCTGCAAAATCACAGGCCCTTGGCTGGGTGGACCTCTCTTGAGCTGCCCCTTCCTGGGCTGCCACCCCTTCTTCTCCACTGAGTGCTCCTGAGAGCAACCACAAAGAGGCAGAGCACCCCACTCCATAGGCCAGAGCCTCAAGGAGATCCCAGCCTGCCAGGGGCCTCAGTGGGAGCTGGAATGGATTTGTCCCTGGAAAATGCTGTGTCTCTGATGTGATATTGGCTCCTGCAGGTGGTGGGGGTGATAGCGTGGCTGGGGGTCAGGCCCCCACACAGCGTGATTGACTATGAGGAGCAGCGGACGGTGGACCCGGAGCAGGCCAGAGGGGTGCTCAAGTGCGACATGTCAGATCTGTCTCTGATTGGCTGCCTGGGCTACAGCCTCCTGCTCATGGTCACATGCACAGTGTATGCCATCAAGGCCCGCGGCGTGCCCGAGACCTTCAACGAGGCCAAGCCCATTGGCTTCACCATGTATACCACCTGCATCATCTGGCTGGCATTTGTGCCCATCTTCTTTGGCACTGCCCAGTCAGCTGAAAAGGTAATGAGGTCCCCAGAAGGTCTCACTGCCTTGTGTTTCCTGCCTGTCCTGCGGTTGATTCATTCAGGAGCTTAAATGCTTGTTCATGCCTTTGTTTATCCGCTATCCCGCTGCTTGCTCATCCACTCATTCCCTTCTTACTTGGTTCATTCATTTGCCTATCCACACTTCTAACCCTGCTTCTTAACTTCCACTCTTCTTTTTTTATCATTTTCATTTCTTTGAGAAATGGTGCCTCACTCTGTCACTCAGTTAACTTTTTTTTTAATTCAAGTTCTTCATATGCTTTTTTTTCTTTTTTTTTTTTTTTGACACAGAGTCTCACTCTGTTGCCCAGGCTGGAGTGCAGTGGTGTGATCTCGGCTCACTGCAACCTCCGCTTCCCAGGTCAAGCAATTTTCCTGCTTTAGCCTCCTAAGTAGCTGGGATTACAGGCACACACCACCAAGCTGGGCAATTTTTGTATCTTTAGTAGAGATGGGGTTTCACCATCTTGGTCAAGCTCGTCTCGAACTCCTGACCTCAGGTGACCCACTCGCCTTGGCCTCCCAAGGTGCTGAGATTACAGGCCTAAGCCACTGTGCCCAGCCTTCATATGCTTTATAGCTGCCAACCCATTAATGTGTTATTCCATTGCTACATCATTTATTCACATACAGGGTAGAACAGTTTATATACCTGTCATCCATTTGTTCGCCCATCTGCTCCTGAATTCAGTCTCTGCCCATTTATTCATTTACATGTATTTGAAACGTGTTCATTCGCTGGCTCTCATTTCCCCAGGTGTCACTCTCTGTTAATAACCCCTCCTTGCCCCTCCCTCCTGCCTATATCAGAGCTGCATGGAGGCTGCCAGTTCCTCAGGCGCCAGGGCCTCTGTTCATACTGTTGTCCTGGTCTAAGGGCTCATTTCCTGTTACCAGACTGAAATAGACTCAGCTCCAGTCTGTGTGGTGAGGGAGGGGCAGGGAGAGCGGAGCTGAGTCCCACCTTGTCCCCTCCTCCGTGGCCTAGATCTACATCCAGACAACCACACTGACCGTGTCCTTGAGCCTGAGTGCATCAGTGTCCCTCGGCATGCTCTACGTCCCCAAGACTTACGTCATCCTATTCCATCCGGAGCAGAACGTGCAAAAGCGGAAGCGGAGCCTCAAGGCCACGGTGGCAGCCCCACCCAAGGGCGAGGATGCAGAGGACCACAAGTAGCAGGGCAGGTGGGAATGAGACTGCTCGCTGCCTCTCCTTTCTTCCTCTGGCTTCACGGTGGAAGCTGTAAAGAGCCCATGCCTACAGTGAACAGTCAGAGGAAGAGAGTCTGCAAAGACCACGCCCAGCATGGGTGGGGCTAGCCTTGAGAAGGCACTGGACCCAGTTCTGCCCTGATTCCAGCACTTGAGCTTCATGCTTCCTCACCACAGACCAGACTCCCTCCCTGTGGTAGGAAACAGCCACTGAGAAGATTCTAACTCTAGAGAGGGACTAAACTTGTTCTCTCGTTCGAGGTTTGAAGATGATGATGCAGCCCGCGGCTTTGCCTGGTTTGAGGGAGATGTCCTCTCCTCAGTCAAGCCCCATAACCTGGGCATTGGGCAGTGTGGAGAAACGTGTAGATCCCAGAATGAAACATGGGGTCAGAGAAGAGGAGGAGCTGTCTCAGCAAGAGACCTGTGGCTGTGCATCTGGACGGAGGCACTCAGGTCTGGGTAGGATTCCTCTGGCATGGAGGGAGAGACCCTGGGTGAGACACCTGTGAGCATGGGTAGGGCCTGCAGTGGGCGAGGGAGTCTGGGGAGCACCCCCATGAGATTCCCCATGCCATGGGCTTTCCCCCCAAACCCCCAGGATTGGGCAAGGTCAGTCTTAGAGTACAGCTGTTTTCCTCCCTTGTATGTACTCCCTTAAATCACCCCCAAATCTTGGTCAGACACTAAAGGCTCATGCCTGTAATCCCAGCACTTTGGGAGGTCCAGGTGGGTGGGTTACCTGAGGTCACAAGTTCGAGACCAGCCTGGCCAAGATGGTGAAACCCCGTCTCTACTAAAAATACAAAAAATTAGCCAGGCGTGTGGCAGGCACCTGTAGTCCCAGCTACTCAAGGGGCTCGGGTGGGAGAATCACTTGAACCCAGGAGGCAGAGGTGACAGTGAGCTGAGATCATGCCACTACACTCCAGCCTGGGCAACAGAGCAAAACTCCGTCTCAAAAAAAAAAAAAAATCACTCCCAACCTTTAAGAAATTCAGATCCACTTGTGTAGTGTTAGTGATGTGAGAACAAGGAGCAGGGACACATTTGTGTTGTGTTTGGGGTTGGAGATGGGTTTAGAGCTCCAGGTTGGCAATAGTGGCAGAGTCATGTCTGTGGTGAAGGTTAATCCCAGATGGATGGCTCAGGATGATTCAGGCTCAGGATGGAAACTCTTCATTCCCCGTATGTACTGGGAAGCCCCGTTTGATAGTTGAGCACAAGGCCTGGGGAGGAAGAGGCTTGGGCTGCAGATGTTGGCACATTTGTTTTTCATTGACAGTTTTTATAAAAAAGCCTGATTTCAGTTATGGAATTCTGTGTCCCTGGGGGTAAAGTTTAAATTTTGTTAAATTGACCACTGTTTAAGATCAGTGTACATTCTCTAGTATGTGATGTCTGGAACTAGTTTTGAGGGTGAACCACACTTTATCCAACATACAGACTGTTTCTCTCTCTCTCTCCTTTTTTTTTTTTAAGAGAAGAAAGAAAGAAAGAAAAAGAAAGAATTAAAAAAAAAATGAAGGAGAGGAAGAAAGAAGAAAAGGAAGAGGGAGAGAGAACGGGGGTGTTGCTTTATTGCCCGGGCTAGAATGCAGTCTAAAAATGGGTATGCCTGTAATTGTGTTTAATAATAAAGACATGAGAAAAAATGAGGGAAGAAAATAACAAGCAGCCAACCAATACTTCATTTAAACCTGTGAATAGGTGTGATGTGGTACTGATAAGAGTGTATATTTTGTGTATTTAAAGTGGAGAGTTCTATAAATGTTAATTAAGTCTACTTGTTCCGGATCTGAGTTCAAGTCCTGAATATTGTTGTTAACTTTCTGTCTCATTGATCTGTCTAATATTGATGTTGAAGTCTCCCACTATCATTGTGTGGGAGTCTAAGTCTCTTTATAAGTCTTATATATCTGGGTATTCCTGTATTGGGTGCACATGTATTTAGGATCTTTAGCTCTTCTTGTTACATTGATCCTTTTATCATTATGTAATATCATTCTTAGCTTCTTTTGATCTTTATTGCTTTAAAGTCTATTTTATCAGCAAAAATTGCAACTCCTGCTATTTATTTATTTATTTTTGCTCTCCATTTGGTTGGTAAATCTTTCTCCATACCTTTGTTTTGAGTCTTTGTTTATCCTTGCATGTGAGATGGGTCTGGATGCAGCATACCAATGGGTCTTAGCTTTTTTTGCCTGTCTGTGTCTTTGGATTGGGGGATTTAGTTGATTTAAATCTAGAATTATTAATAATATATGTGAGTTTAATACTGCCATTTAATGTTAGCTGGCTGTTTTGCCTATTAGTTGATGTAGCTTAGTTTGGCTGGATGTAAAATTCTAGGTTGAAAGTTCTTTTCTTTAAGGATGTTGAATATTGGCCCCCACTCTCTTCTGCCTTGCAGGGTTTCTGCTGAGAGATCTGCTGTGAGTCTGATAGGCTTCCCTTTATGGGTAACCTGACCTTTCTCTCTGGCTGCCCTCAATATTTTCTCTTTCATTTCAACCCTGGTGAATCTGGCGATTATGTGCCTTGAGGTTGGTCTTCTTGAAGAATATCTTTGTGGTGTTCTCTGTATTACCTGGAGTTGAATATTGTCCTGCCTTGCTAGGTTGGGAAAGTTTTCCTGAATAATATCCTGAAGAATATTTTCCAGCTTGGATTGATTCTCTTCATCACATTCAGGTACACCTATCAAACGTAGATTAGGTCTTTTCACACAGTCCCATATTTCTTGGAGACTTTGCTTGTTCCTTTTTATCCTTTTTTCTCTAATCTTATCTTCTTGTTTTATTTCATTAAGTTGGTCTTCGACCTCTGATATCTTTTCTTCTGCTTGATCAATTCGGCTGTTAAAACTTGTGCATACTTCGCTAAGTTCTCATGTTGTGTTTTTCAGCTCCATTAATTCACTTACATTCGTCTCTGAATTGTGTATTCTTGTTAAGATTTCGTCAAACCTTTTTTCAGAGTTCTTAGTTTCTTTGCATTGGGTTAGAACAAGTTCTTTTAATTTCCAGAAGTTTCTTATCATTCACCTTGTAAAGCCTGCTTCTGTTAATGGAACACAGTCGTTCTCCATCAGGTCTTGTTCCATTGCTGATGAGGAATTTGATCCCCTGTAGAGGGAGAGGAGTTCTGATTTTGGGTATTCTCAGCCTTTTTAGGCTGGTTTCTTCCCTTCGTTATAGATTTATCCATCTGTGGTCTTTATAATTACCGTCTTTATACTTGGGTTTCTGAGTGGACGTCCAACTTGTTGATTCCTGGAGCTAAAATCTGAGCAACCCAATGCGCCGGCCAAAACAGCGGCATTAAGATTGATGGTGCTTTTCTGACTCTGCACCAAGAACTGCCACACCAAGGCAGCGGCAAAACCGCCTCGCCAGCCACAAGAGTCACGCTGGTGATCCGTAGGGCTCCTCCACTGGGAATCTCCTGGTGCGTGAGCAAAAAAAATTTGTCTGAAAGTGTGGTGTCCTCTCGTTCTCTGCGCTTTCACTGGGAGCTACAATCCCGAGCTGCTAGTGATCAGCCATCTTGGATCTCTCCTGGACTCTTTCTCATACAGCTTCTCTGGTGCGCAGTAGGTTTTGACTTTGGGACTAGTGTTTTGTTTTGTTTTGTTTTGTTTGTGAAACCTCTGACAAACATTCTGTTGCACCACTGACTCTCCTTCTCCACCTCTGTGGCGTTCCTAGGGCTCCTCCACAGTTTGAATTAGGACGTTTCATTTGTTGCTGAATGCTGTCCAGAATGTTTATCCATAGGGTTTCTCTCCTGTGCGGGCTCTCATGGGTAATGTGGTGTGTTTCCTTGCCAAAGGTGGTTCCATGCTTGTGATTGTCTAGGGTTCTTCTATATGAACTCTGAGAGTCAGTGAGCTCTGATCTCCAAGTAAAAGTTTTCCTGCGTTTGCTGTTTTCTGTTTCTCCCGGTATTAATTTTTGATGTGCAATTAGTTTTGACTTCTTGTTGAAAACTTTTCCACATTTTTTTACATTTGTGTTGTTTTCCCCACTCTGAACTCTATAATTCAGAATTAGAAGCAGTTCTTGGTAAAGGCGTTTTCATACTGATTGCATGAAGAATTTCTCCCCAGTGTGAAGTTTCTGGCATGGAGTCCTGGCTTCCCGCAGAAGACTCATACTCTGCCACGTTCATGCCTGTGGGCCTCTCTGGCAGGAATTCTATGATGCACAGCAAGTCCTAGCTACCTCCTGTGGGCTTTCTCACATTTGGTCTACTTGTAGGTTATCTTCACAGCATGAACCATTCTGTGTACAGTGGGACATCCTCTGTTACTAAAGATATCATCATATTCAGTACATTCACAAGGTTTCTCTACCTTCTGAATTTTCTGATGTATACAAACGACTGACTTCTACAAGAGGGCTTTTCCATACTCAGTGTGTACATACAGTTTCTGCCTGTGATCATTTCTTTTTTTATTATTTTATTTTTTTGGAACAGGGTCTTGCTCAGTTTCTTAGGCTGGACTGCAGTGGCATCATAGCTCACTGCAGCCTCAACCTGGGCTCAAGCAATCCTCCAGCCTCAGTCTCCTGAGTAGCTGGCGTGCACCACCATACCCAGCTTTTTTTTTTTTTTTTTTTG